CAGGCCTTGTGGAGGTGAGAAGAGTGTGATAAGAAAATAAAGGAAAAATGAAGTGATCTATGACAACAAAACCACTGGACATTACTAACATCCTTTGGATGTTGGATTTTGTCAAAGCCATTTTGTGCATCTATTGACTTTTGTTCATGGTTCTGCATATGCAGTGTATTATATTTTTTTGATTTACACATATTAAATCATACTTGCAGCCCTGGGACCAAGCTGCATATATGATCATTTTGATGATCCATTGCATTCTGTTTGCTAGTACCTTTCTGAGGATTTTGATAAACTGAGTATCTAAGTTTATCAAAAGATTGAATAATAGCATTGTTTTGTTGTTTTACTTTGTTCTAGTTGGGTCCTTGGTTTTGGAATCAGCATAAGGCTGGCTTCCAGAAATGGTTCTGAGAGTACTTTTTTCTTCCTTTCCATTTTATTAAAAAATTCTGTGCAGTATTGGTATTAAGTCTTCCTTGACAATCTCATAGAATTCAGTGGTAAATTTATCCAGTCCTGGATGAATTTCTTAGTAGTTTTTTATGACTGCTTCAATTTTGTTGCCTGTTATTGCATTACTCAGGATTTTTATACCTTCTTGGTTCAGTTTTTTTTTTTTTAGTTTACATTTGTCTAAAGATCTAATTTTTCTGGATTCTCCAATTTATTGGAGTACAAGTTTTCCATATATATATATATATATATATATATATATTATTCCATATAGTTACTAATACTTTTCTGTCAGTGTCCACTATGATTTTGCCTTCATTTCTAATTATGTTGATTCCTATTGTAAAACTGGATAAAGTTACATCATTTTTTCATTTGAAGAACAAGATCTTTTCATTGATTGATACTTTTACCTCTTTAGTCTAAATTTTATTAATTTCTATTCTGACCTTTATAATTTCACTTCTCCTACGAGCTTTAAATTTGGTTTCCTCGGGCTGGGGAGATAGCTCGGCAGTCCAAGCAGCTGGCCGGCCAGTGCAAGGACCTGAGTTTGATCACTGGCACTGTATGCCAGGCTGGCCCCAGAACTGGAGAGGCTGAGACAGGAGGATCACTATGAGTCTAACTGCATAGCAACACCCTGTACAAAGTTTTTTCAAATAAAGAATAACTTTGGTAAGTTCCAGGATATTGAAGTGCATCATTAGATCATTTATTGAGTCTCACTCTGCTTTTGTGCTACAGGCAGGCACAGCTATAGACTTCGGGGCTGCTTGCACTGTATCCACGCATTCTTGCACATTGTAGTGTTGTTATCATTGATTCTAAGAACTATCTAATTTCTTCCCTAATATCTTCTGTGACCACAGATTAACGATTCAAGTATTTATTGTGCTTGTGGTCTCGTTTGCACATCTCAGGACTGTTTTCATTGTGTCCTCTATGTTCTGGTATGTTGAGCTGGCATGGTTAGTTCTAGAACCTGTCTTATTTTTCTTTGATCTTTGTCTGTAACCCATTTAGTTTAAAATGTATTGTTCAATTTCCAGCATTTGCATAATTTCTCTGTTATCCTTTGTTGTTGATTTGTTGAGCTATCATCATATAGTATACATGGTATAATTCTAATTCTTTTACGTTTACTTAAGCCTGACTCATTAACTAGTCTGTAATCTACTGGGGGGGGAAAGTTCCGTGTGCTGACTATCTCACCTATTTGACGTGGTTCCCATTGTGAAGAATTTCCATTCTTTCACTTTTAATCTATGGCTTTCTGCTTTGGTTAAATGTGTTTCTTGTAGACATCATGAAAGCTGTCTTCTTTTAGGATTTGAAACAACTCTCTGTAAACCTGAGCACCTTCAAGGTTTATGTTGAGAAGTCTGTTGTAATTCTGATTTGTTTTTTATAAGTGATCTTTTATCTTTCTCTATCATCTTTTAATATGCTAATTTGTGCTTGACTTCCTGGGTTTTGCCAATATGTGATCATTTTCTGGTCATAGCTACGTGGGCTTCTATATGGCTCATTCGTGTGTTTGGTAAATTCTATCCCCATATTTGGAAATTATTTTGCTATTAATTCTGTGAACAGGATTTTGATGTCATTCATGCTGTCTTCTGAGTTTTCATCAATTCCAATGAATTTCAGATTAGTCTTGTTTGTGTTACCTACCAGCTGCTGGACCCTGATGTGATACTACCTTGTTTTTAAGGTATCTCTGATTATAGGGTTCCCCACATCAGTCCTGTCTCCTGGTTCTGACATTCTCTTTACTTAGGTCAATTCTGCCACTCAAAATTTTATTTTACTTTTTAAAAAAATTAATAGAATTATTGAGGTCCTGATTTCTGTTTGTTATCATTTCACTAACTATTTCTTTGTAACTAGTAACTCATGTTTGTTCCATGTGGTTAAGTTCAGATGGCTTATTAGTGCCTCCTGCAAGCTCACTGATCATTTTAAGTACATTACTTAGTTGCATCATCTCTGAGCTTGCTAAGAACCTTATTGATTTTTTGTCTTCTCTTTTATCATTGCTCAAAATTTAGCTGTTTTTTTTTTAATTTCATCCCTACTAATTGTCCATGAAAGAATTTCAGGACAGTGAGGAGCGTCCAGAGACAGTTTGTTGCCTTGGCTTCTCATGTTTCTATTGCACTTGCTTGTTCTTATGCATGTGTGTGCCTGTGCATGTATATGTGCTTACATGTGGGTACTGGATTTTATGGGCTGACTGTAATGGAAAGACCTTGTTGTTGATATGGAGATCATGTTAGTTAATGTCTGCTTTCAGTGCTGCTCTCTCAGCATGACTAGATGTAAGCTTGGGGCTCTATCTCATTATCCAACCACCTCCATTAATTTTGGCAGAAAGGATGCAGTATCATTGACCCAGAACCCAGTCTGAACCATTATATTATGGATGACAAAAGGACAAATCAGCAACAACCATGACCCCTAATAAAGCAAAAAGAAAAAAAGGCAAGAAAAACTGGATCAAGCATAACATGGATATTGACATAAGAACTAATAAAAGATTTCACTATACCACCTTTTACCAGAGAAGAGAAATTTGTGATAAAGTCATAAAGGCAAACCAAATATCAGCATACAATATTTACTAATTGTATCCATCCTATTTATTTATTTATTCATTTATTTATTTTTATGTATGTGGTACAAGGTCTCACTATGCAGCTCGGATTTGTAGTGATCCTCCCATTTTTAGCCTCTCCAGCACTGGGATTACAGGTATGTGCCACCATGTGCAGACTTGGTCACTGGCTCAGCACACCCAGGGGCAAGGTCGGCACCATATGTGGTGCTGGAGATCCAACCCCAGTCTCTGTGCTACCATATCCTATAATTAATATTAGAAAATAATCAACAATAATAGCTTAGAGTTAGACAAATGTTGAAAAAACAATTTAAACGTACTAGAAAAGATGGAGGGGTACAGAACAGGAAATTGAAAGAAATAAAATTCAAGAAATAAAGAAGATGACAAAAGGAGAGAAAAGTTAGATGAAGGAGTCTATTAAAAAGTATCAGAAAATTAATAAAAGTACATAAAAGGAGAAAATAAGAAGGAAAAAGGAAGTATAGAGAGCAAAATGAAGAAAAAGAAAAGAAAAAACCATAAGCCCCCAAAGCAATTTTAAAAAATGAATTTTTTGCATAATTTTCCTGTTTTTGGTTAAGGACTTTCATTACAGGATCAATGGTGTTGGAATCCAGCAGATATGGAGGAGGGAAAGCAAATCACTGATAACACCTACGTTTCCATGTTCTTGTGTCAGTGCTGAACCCTGCCCTGCCTTTCTTACTGGGAAGTGCCAGTCAAAGATTTCCACTCTAGGGCTGTGGTCACCCCAGTAGCTCAGCTCCCTCTTTCCTGGTTCCTCTGTGTATCTCATGTCATGATTTTCTCTGACTAGTTCTATGTCCTGTGGATTTGTGAGGTGACCCCTCCTCCAAAGACCCTTCTGCCCATGCTACTCAGGCTGTGGCAATTGCCCAAACCGAGGCGCACGCTTTGCTCACACTAGTAGCTGGGGAAAGCAAACAGACCACAGATACTGAATTGCTCAGATTTGAGCAACTCACTCCTTCTCCAAGCGGTTGCTGATCAAACCCTCTCATATATGGCAGTTGTTTCCCCAGATTTCTTCCCCAACCAAGGCCTGCCATGTGGAAGGAGTCACTTTCCGAGTAAAACCCCATATTGTTTTGGCATTTTGAGATTGACACGGGCTTTTCTCAGAGCTGGCACTGCTGGCTCAGTCCACTTTTTCTCCCTGGAGCTTCCACCTCCCTTCAGACTCACTTTGTGGCAGTGAAGCCAGTTCACCTCCCCAGGAGCTGGAGCCAGCTTTCCTGACCGCTTCATCGCTTTCTCTGTATTGCGTTGGCTGCTCAAGCTTCTCTGTAGTTTCTAATTTTTTCTGTCTCCCAATTCTTTAGAATCTATTTTGTTCCCTTCATCGAGTTATTGTTTTCCAGATGTCTTGATTCCTGGTCCTGGGGAAGCTGGGTTTTGCTGATAGTCTGCTCCACTAATATTTCCCCCCAGTGATTATTTTTAAAATATTGAGCAATCTAACTGCATTAAATTTATATTAGTCAAAAAATAACAGAAAATGAAAAACCAAGCCATAAGTTAGGAAAATTAATTTATTATTCTTATGAACTAGTATCCAAAGTAAATAAAGAACTTATAAAAATCAATAATAAAATGACAATCTAGATCACAGAGCCAGCATACACACTGACTGGCTCACATATGAAAATTTTAATTTATTCTCCACTTTTATCCTTAATAATTACAAATAATCATCTTTTTTTTAGCTGGAAGCTAGCTCACAGAATCTGTTTCATATATCTATAGCCTAGGTGGTATTAAAGGACTTTAGTGGCAAGAAGTTTCTTGCCATCTAATCTTCTGCTTTCTAACTTTTTTTAAAAAAACTTGGGTCTTTATTTTGTTCAGTGTATGAGTCTATGAAATGATAGGCACTGATTCAATGGGGGGAAAGATCTGGGGTGAGACAGGGGTGTGGGATGCCCTGGGCTGCCAGGTGGGCAGAGGGCAATGTAAGGAGCCTGGGCCACTCCATCCCAGACAGATGTCACCAAGGTGACTTAATGGGGGCCTTTAAAAAGGCTTTAGTCTTCTTTCCTTCCGGCGACAGGGGATTGGGAAGGCTCCATGACTGACATCCAGCCAACTGAGGAAGGTCTGCTGCTTCAGGATAAAGGTATGCAGGGTGCTGGACTTCATGGCATAGAAGACATTACTGCCTTCAGGGATCTTCATTCCTGTGGAGTTGGGCAGAGAGGTGGTCAGTGGTGCTCACAGGGCACCCTTCCACACACACCCACTCTGGAGATCCCTCCAGTTCTGCTCCAGCACTATGTGGGCTTCTCCTGTGGATAGACTGCAGAGGGCTAGGCACAGCCTAAGGACTCTTGTTGGAAAGGGGTTTTGGACCCAAAATTTCGCAGCTGAGCCTGGAGATGGAAAAGGCTCACCCCATGCTGCGGACTCTGAGCCTTTACTGGTCAGGACTCCAGTAGTAGTCTCTGCAGAGCCCTAGGCGTCCCCTGAAGGCTACCCAAAGACAAACACTCTGAGGACCCCTGCCCAAGGGCAGACCTCACCCCAGCCCTCCTGTGCCAGCTCACATCCTGTAGATCCCAGGTATAGTTGGCCCTTCCAGGTCCCCATCTTGGTCAGGGAAGTTTGTATTTGTAATCCCATGGATAAGTTATTGGAATTCAGCCAAGCTAATTCCAATCTACCACTTCAAGAGCAACTTGTGGTGATACAAAAGGTACTAAAGCATATTTATAGTTATGGAAAGCCAAGGGGTCCTTAGACCAGCCATGGTGATGGCTATCCAGAACAAAGGTCTTGCCTTGACCCAGGGCCCAACCTGGGCTTTATTCAGTCATGAAAAAGGAGAAGCTTGAAGATAAACGATTGAGAATGGTAGGAAGTAGATGAGTACTGTGAGCTGAGCTAGGTAGGAGGCCTGCATTTATTTCTGCAATATGCAGAGAGAAAGAAATGCAGAGAGTAATCTGAATTACACAATTGAGATAGTATCTAATGTTTTGGGGTCTGCTGCTTGAGCTCTGATGTGTAATCTTTCAAGCCCCAGGAAGTCATAACCTCTATCTTGAGGCTCTATCCCAGCTGACAGAGTGGAGCACTAGCTCTTCATCCCATCTTGACCTGACTCATATTAAAGAGCAGGTGGAAACACATGTGCCATCTTCAAAGACTACCACCGGTGCTTTGACTAAACTGATATATATTGCTTAAAGCCAATTGAAGGGACAAGGAAAAGTCCCAGCCAGCTCTGTACATATCAGTCCATGGAAACAGGGTCAGGAACAGCCAAAATGAAGATGATTTCTCTTCTCTCTCTGAGAGTTGCCCCTGTGGTCCTCCACACCCAGGCACCTTGGAAGTCCTTTCTCTGAACTCCTCTCCCTAACCCCTCTTCTCTGGCCTGGTGTGGGTTGGAAGCCAGGGCTAGGAGGAACTTAGGGAGCTCTGCTTCTACTTCTTCAGGCCCCCTGAGATTCAGTCTTAGTTTTTTGCAAGAACTGGAGAGGGGGGTGGGCACCTACTATGCTCACCTAACCACATGGTGCAGGAAGCTTCAAGACCACTTGCAACATAATTCTACGGGTGGTGGTTGTCCCTACCGACAGCTGGTCTAACGACTGCTGTGTGTATCCAGCTCATTGGAAAGAAAACAGCACTGACAACATCTGTGCAGACATAGGATGTACTTTTCTGTATGTGGGGGAGCCCACTGGTCACTGTGATCTCTTTCCAAGGAGGACACAGGCACAGGGGCCCGGAAACCTGCCCAGAGTCTCTGTGCCAGTGCTTCTTCTGAGTTTTGTCACCCACCCAGTATCAATGCACTGAAGTGGTTTCTGAAACAGGTGCCTTTGCTGTCACACACATGGATTTCACACAGAATACATCAGCCCATGACCACATGGATTCCTTCAGAAGAACGTTTCTCTTTAGCACTTGGTCACCCTGCCCCATGGGATGCACCTCGGCTCTTCCCTCCTCACTGAGTTGGCTTTGCCCTGCCAGTTCACACCCAGCAGAGGACACAGAAGCGGAGTGGACCAGGAGCTCTCGGGAGAGCAATGGATTAACAGGGTGTCCAGGGCCGTCCTGGCAGGTGATTCTGGGCATGCTGCCTGCTATCTTCCTGCTGGTTTGTTCTCCAAAGCCAAGAGCCACAGGCCTGTGGCTGCGGGCAGTGCTAGCCCTGTCACCCCACCATCATCCTGGCCACACTCTGACTTACTCTCACTGTCAGAAACAACCTGCAGAAGCTCATAGTATTTGGGGTCATCATCTATGAAATGCTTCTCCATGGCCTTCCGGATGATGGTGGAAGTCAGGTCATTGCAGGTCACCTGGATTAAGGCATAGACAGTCCCTCAGAGCAGGCTCTCCCACAGTGCAGCAGCAAGCGATCCCAGCCCTGAGCACAAGGGCGCCCACTGGGTTTAAGGACCTCTTCCCCTTCTCCTGCCCCCCAGGGGCAGCTTCCATGTGATGAGCAGGGTCCCACCCCACACATCCTTAGCCCCTTTGCCTACAGCAGCCCGCCCTAATGCCAAGGGAGGAGTTGTACCACTGCAGGCCTGACCTGCATTGCACACTGCACTGCTGAGTGGCACAGACTGAACCCCTGGGTGCCTGCACCCCAAAGGGCAGAGCACAGGTGGTGCCACCTGACCTGTGTGGGGAGGATCACATTCACTAATGGCTCCACTTCAGTCAGAGAGTGGCCTGCATGAGGACAGTCCTGCTCTGTGCCCACACATGTGCTATGAGCAGCTCTTGCTGGCTCTGTGTTCAAGTGATGCCCAGATGGACAGTGCTGGCCACTTCCAAGGTCACCAGCCAGCTAAGGCCCAGATCTCCTGTCCTGCACAGCAGCTGCAGCCTCCTGAGGAGCCCCCCCCCTTCCTTTCTGGCAGCAGCTGATCCCTGACAGAGAGCCCCCACATCACTGCTGCCCTGCATGGTTCCAACCCCCAGTGGCTCTGGGTCCTCTGTGAGAAAATCAGAGTCCTCACAGCACAACAGGGCCATGAGAGCTCGTCCTCCCAGCTCCCGCTCCCTGAGCCCAGCTCTGGGCCTGCCCTTCACTGCCCAAGCCCCGCTGGAGTTGGGTGAGCAGCTTTCCTCTGCCCTCTCAGCCCAGGCCCAGAGCGCTGGCCACTGACTCCTTTCTTCCTGTCCATTCATCCTGGCCCTCTAGAAGGACACCTCCAGGAGAGCAGAAGCACATGTGGTGCTCAACATACAAGGGCCCCTGGCTTGTGCTGCCCTCAGAGGAAACCCCTACTGCCTACTCACCAAGATACTCTTATATGTACGTCCATTGTCCTCCTCCATACCAACCCTGATGATGCAGCAGTCACTCAGCTGCTGACTGCAGAGTGGCCGTAGTTGGGGGGCCGGCTCCTTGATCTGTGGAAGCCAAAGCTAGTATCAGAGACAATGACCTTACAAGGCTGCCCAGGATTGCAGCCAGCTCTGGGGCTTCTAGAAGCACTGTTTAAGACTCTGGGCTCTTTAGATTCAAGGTGGAAGGGGTCCCAGGGCTAGGAAGGAGAACAGGGCCATAATGAACAGCAGCCTGGTGTTCCTGGCCATCAGAGGTTCCTGGGTGCCTCCTGCAGCACAACCCAGTCTTTTCAGTCCAGAGCTGCTTTACCTTGGCCCTGTCTGGATGCATCCTGTTGTGGTACATTCCCAAGGAAAGTTGATGTGACACTCAGGGAACAGAAGTGCAGACTGTGAGAGCCAGCCATTCCCTGCTCTCCTTGTCCCCCTGAGAGGAGATGGAGCCCAGGGCTTGGGGCTGGAGCTTGGAAGCTGGGTCTATGAGTCCAGGCACATGGAATCCCTAGGTGCTACTCTGGTTCCCAAGGTTGCTTTGGGTAGGATTGATCCAGCACAGCATGACAACAAGAAGGGAGGGTGGCATTTTTTCTGTCTAGTATTTATGCATAGAACTTGGCATAAGGCTGCTTGGACCAGGCACATCATGTGCCTCCCCTTTAGGTCTGTTTCCATGTTCACATACACAGTTATTACCACTGGGGGCTTCATCGGGCGAGGTCTGTGCCCTTTGGGTGCTTGACAAGTGCTGGGGATGCTCAGGTGCCCTAGGACACAAATAAAATAGGGGTCCCAGAAACTCTGCTCTGAGCACGATGCCCTGAGGGAGCCTGGCAGGCCTGCTCCTTGCATCTCCATGGCCATTGTACAAGAGGCCAAGATAGCACCACATCTGCTGTCCAGGGGGAGCAGAGATCTCAGGGCTCAGAAATGTGCCTGGTCACATGGTGTGCAGTGCTAAAGCAGGGTGTGCACGGGAACGCAGGCTCTGCAGCAGGCAAGCAGATCTGGATGGCAGATGCCTGGAGGAAGCCCACGGGGCCCTGCCCTGCTGAGCCCAGCCGCTCCCGCAGCCCTCAGCATGAACTGCTCTGTCACCAGCTCAGGAGGGGACCCAGGAAGCAGGGTTTCTGTCTACTCACTGTGTTTGCTGTGGCCTCGGATGAAGGCCCAGGTGGCTGTGCGGGTGCCTGTGGCTCTGAGGCTGAGTCCAGCTCCAGAGTCTCTGACACAGCTGACTCCTCCTCTGGAAGTGATGACGGAGCTGAAGGAAAGAAGATTCCATCATCACAGCCGGCTCTGAGCCATTCCCTGCCTGCCAAAGAGTCCTTGGGCCCTGACCCCACTGCAGAATCACAGCTCAGTCACTGCCTGAGGGGTCAGGCAGGAGCCTTGTCTGTGTGGGCCCAGCTCAGACCTTCCTCGTGTGCCCTGTTGTCCTCACCCCAGGCCTCCTCACCCTTAGACTCATCATCCGGCGGAACCAGGCCCTGCAGCTGGGCCAGCAGAAGGTGGGCGCGGTGCTCCAGATGTGAGCCAGGGAAGCGCAGCTGCACGTAGGCCACCAGCTGCTTGAGGCACGGGAAGTCCGGAGGCTCCTGGAAGTGCTGGTGGTAGGTGTCCAGCCAGGTGCCCAGGATGGTGGAGATGGCCCTGGGTAGGCACACAGGAGCAGTGCTGGGGGCCTGCCCTCCCCTTCCTTGTAGCCCCACCCCCAGCCCCACAGCAAGAATCACAAGTGTGGGAGCCAAGGTTTGCCCCACTCTCCCACATCGCAGCCCCCACTCAGGCATAGGAGCCCCTTCTTGACAGAAGCCCACTCACTTCCTGAGTTGACCCTGACGTTCACCACCTCTGCCAAAGCAGGCAAGGATGTGGCCATGTCGGCAGGAGTTCATGAGGGTGTCACATCTGTCACCAGCATGGAAAAAGAGAAATTTCATGATTAGAACTTTTTCTTACAGGGAGAAGTGGCCTCTCTCAACTCCCTCGGGCCTAGAGCCTCAGAGCTACCCTCCTGTCCTCTGCTCAGATAAATGGACACAGTATGCAAATGCTGCCCCAAAAGTCTGGACCAATGCTGGCTGGGAGCCATGGAGCAAGCCCAGAGATGTGTGCTGCTCCTGATCACCCCTGCCCTCTCCATTTTTTACTATACTACGACTACTGGACTATATTGGATTATTTTGATGAATTCATGCACCTACAATATTTAAATGGCAATGGAATACCCATCTCTGACAAAACTAAATGAAAAAGGGGATATAAATGAAGGACCATTTTGTATCTGTATATACAAAATAGTTAGGATAGATATACAGCTGCTTTCTCTTAATTCAATGAGAAGTAAGTTTTGTACTAATAGTGTTTGGACAGGATATCATGTATGTATTTTGTACTATGAGTAACTACTATGAAGACAGCAATATGCAATGTATTAATTATTATAACTGTCCCACTATCCTGTTTTGAAACCGTCTCATTTCTATTTGTTTCTCAATAAAATTAATTTTAGAAAGACTCTTGTACAATTGGGCACCATAATTTTAGGCCAAAGACCCCTCCATCAACTGGAAGCTGCCTTTGAATAAGGCTTTTCTTCTCAACAATAAGTATCTTGCTTGGACTTGGTCCATGCAAGCAAATGAGCCTGAACACGTGGACCTGAGTGACTTGTAACACCAGGACTGTCCCTCTCCTGACTTATGTCACTGACTGACTTTGAGGTAGAAATGGAGCTCAGGATGGAAGTGACTCACTCTCCCTTTTCCCTGGACTGCCAGAAAGGCCCAGAAGTGAACCCACCTTCAACAAGCACTTTGTGTCTCTGTGTGTGCAATGAGTGAACCCAGCCAGCATCTTTCTAGATCCCAGTGGGTCCTGTGCCCCTCACACCACCCCAGACTTCCTGCTCTGGCTACAGCAGGATAGGAATCCCCCAGATGCCATGCAGAGTCTCCTTTACAGATGGGAACCTGCATTCCTTGGGTGCATGAAGGCCACACGTGAGAGGCCCAGGGCAGGTGCTTCCCAGGCTCAGATTTCTTGGGTCTGACAACACCCAAAGGTCTTCTCTAAGCATCCCAGTTTCCACAGATCAGGCTGTGCATGGAATGCTGAAGACCCAGGCAGAAAGTAATGGCTCCGCTCCCCGCTAGGAAGGAGTATGCACCTTTTCAACAGCAGCTCCAGCACCTGCTGTGTGGTGCCAACTGATCGGTAGCTTTGGAAAAACCTGTGGAGTAAACAAGTGTCCCCACGAAGCACAGAAGGCACCAGGTCATTCACCATGCTCTTGCGTGCATCCTCGAAGAGGATTTCCAGACAGCCGCGCACCTCCAGGTGCCGGCTTGATGCATTTTCTCCCTGGGGCGGGGAGAGGGGCAAGGACAGAAGTTCAGACATGGAAACAGCAGCTCTGTTACTAGTCACTTATTTTATCACTGAAAGAAAATACCCAACACCTGCAACTTAATGGCTCATGGCATAGAGTGTCCAGTTCACTGCTAGGGGCTCCAAGGTAGAAGTGGCACGGTGGAGATCATGGTGGTGGGTGGCTGCTCAACCCATAGTCACTATACCGAACAGGAAGGGAGGGCACAGGGACAAGAAGTCAACCAAAAAGGGCCAAACAAGAAAGACAGCCTTTTTAACAAATGGTGCTGGAAAAACTGGCTCTCCACCCTCCAAAAATTAAAGATAGACCCAGGTCTACTGCCATGCACTAAACTAAAGCAAAATAGATTAAAGATCTAAACATTAAAACTGAAACACTAAATCTCCTGGAGGAGAAAGTAGTTGGAAATCTTGAAGATATAGGAATAGGCAAACAGTTCATGAATAAAAATCAAACTGCATGAGAAATACTTCAAAGAATCAACAACTGGGACCTTCTCTTATTGAGAAGTTTCTGCACTTCGAAAGAAATCACCAACAGAATGAAAAGACAATCTACAAATTTGGAAAAAAATCTTAAGGAATAATCACTCAGACAAAGGTCTTCTATCTAGAATATATAAAGAATTAAAAAAAATAGGGACCCCAAAATTTAAAGACCCAATCCAAAAATGGAGATGAATACACACTTCTCAGAGGCAAATAAATACCTGAAAAAAATGCTCCACATCACTGGCCATTCAAGAAATGCAAGTTAAAACAACACTGAGAGAGCATCTCATCCCAGAAAGAATGGATATCATAAAGAAATCAGATAATAATAAAGGCTGGGGGGCTGAGAGGGAAAAGGAACCTTCTCCACTGTTGGTGGGAATGTGGACTGATACAACCACTATGGAAATCAGTGTGGAGACTCCTTAAAAACTTGGACTGGAAATCCCATTCAATCCAGGTATTTTCCTTCTGGGACTTTTCCCAAAAGAACTGAAAATATTGTACCAAAATGCTATATGTGCACCCGTGTTTATAGCAGCACAATTTGTGATAACCAAATTTTGGAAGCAACCAAAATGCCCAACACCCGAGCATGGATGTGATATTTTATACAATGGAGTATTACTCAGCTATAAAGAAAGATAAACTCTAAGCCTTCATAGGTAAGTGGATGCAACTTAGAGGCTGTACTCATAAGTGAAATAAACCAGACCTACATGTGTAAGTATTGTATTGTCTCCCTAATATAAGAACTCAAAAGAAGAAATAAAACTTGAAAGGTATAACAGATATAGTAAAACAGAAAGAAACAGAACTTAAAAATTAAACAATGAAGAGGAGAGAAAGGAGAAAAGATAAGAACAAAAGTAGGGGAAAACACGTAAGCATATATCCAAGATGGCTGAGGCGATTGTACAAAAAAATCTCCATCAGTTTTTTTGAAAATAGCAGTCAATGCATAGAATTTTCATCTTGACTAACTTTGTATGCTGATATCTGTGACCTAAGCAACTACATCAAGGACAGCAATGTGTATTACAAAAACCATGCTTGACTACCTGTTATCTTGGTCTTCTAAATGGGTACTGTGTTTAATGTCATATCAATTATTACTACAGTGTCTTTAAGACAAATTTTTTAAATAAAAAAGAGAGACAAGAATAAAAATGTAAGGTTTCTTGAAGGCAAGTGGTAATATGTAACCCTAAGTACAGTCTTATATATATCTTTTAATCTGAGCAACAGATTTGACAATAAAAATAGATAATATATCATCTATTGCTACTCAGCTTTTCTTGGTTTGAAAATCTATAACATATATATTGTTGTATATTGCCCTGTTTGTCTTTGTTTCTGATTTTTGTTCTTGTTTTTGCTTTTGTTTTTCAAAATAAAATTAAGGGGGCCGGGGAGATAGCTCAGTAGAATAAGTGTGTGCCTGGCAAGCACAAGGGCCTGATTTCAATCTCCGGTTCGCCAAAATAAATAAATAAATAAATAAATAAATAAATAAATAAATAAATAAATTTAATTTGATTTAAAAAATGAGTACAACCTTGTAGGCAACACACCCAGGGACCCACCTCCTCCTACCAGGCCTCCATTCTTAACAGCACCTTCAGCTATGAACGCATCAATACTTGCTGATGAGAATACCACCTGAAGGACCTTACCTCATCCCAAGCCCCACCTTGAACACCTGAGACAATATGGGGACATTTTAGGTGTAAACCAGAGCCTTAACAAACTGCCAAACTGCTGTGCCATGCAATAAACAGCATGGAGAGTTTTCAGTACTCACACGTGGAGATGGGCACACAGTGACACACACTCACACCAGGGAGGGGCTGAGCACACACAAGGAGGGGTCCAGTGATATGCTGGGGTGTGTTGACCTGGCGAGGCTGCTCTGTGTTACCTTTCGATTCTGTGAAGATGGCCACAGGCAACCAGGGCAATGGGAGAGCAACGATCTCCAAATGTGGCCAAGACCTTCTCTGTGAGATCTCCTAAGGCCTGAGCCTTGGGAAGTCAGGAGACAAGACCAAGACATCCTGTTACAGCCAGGGTCTCCAGACTAGTGGGCTTGCTGCAGTTGACTGTTGGGTATGGGCGCTAGGCAACAAGGTTCTGGGCTCTGTTTCATCATTCAGGAAGTGAGGTCATCTCTTGGGGTCCCCTTAACGGATCTATTCCTCACACAGTATTTCTCCGAAGTCCCCCTGGGCTGTTCACTATTCCCTCCCCACACACTCTGCACAATAATACCACACACAATAATATCAAAACACCCCTCATGACCCCATTATATCTAGGTAGACTGGATTAAGCAAGACAAAAGATAGACCTGTGGTCGACCCTGCCACTCTCATTTAGGGTAAGTTTGACAGGTCAGGGATTCAGGCAAGAGTGTTGAATTCGGTTTAAGACATGGTTTTAGTGTTCTGGCTAGGATCTGTGATTAATGTTAGGGTTAGGAATTAGGGATTATAAGTTAGCAGTTAAGGTTCAGTGATAAGATTTAGGGCTACAGTTAGGGGTTTAAATGATGGGTTTATGATGAGTAGTGGTAAGGACTTGGTTTAGGGATTCTGATTTAGCATTTGCTTTTCAGTAGTGACTGTGGTTAGATTTTGAGCTTGCAGTTAAGGGATGTGCTATGGTTAGATTTAGGCTTAGTTCTAGAGCGAGAACTATGGTTAAGGCTTCAGTTTGTTAGAGATAGGATTTGGGGTGTTGTACCCTGTCAAAATTGACTCCATTTTGTTGCCCGTCTAACCTCGCAGTTTTCCTGTTCTGTATGTGCTGACCCCTCCCAATTCCTCACCCCTTGACTGCCAACTCAAATTCCTCCCAATTCCTCCCAATTCCTCACCCCTTGACTGCCAACTCAAATTCCTCCCAATTCCTCCCAATTCTTCACCCTTTTACTGCCAACTTAAATTCCTCCCAATTCCTTACCCTTATGACTCAAGTCTTATGATATCTGTTCCCCAAACCTTATCTCAATGAACTCTGTATGACTGCCAGCTCAGCACCTTCACCCAAAAGGACCACCCCATGAACCAATGACTCTGCCACTTCTTCTTCTCCACCCTTCCCCTGTTTCTGCGGTTTTCAAGCTTAAATACTGATCCTTGTCAGTGTTCAGAGCGCCTCTTTGCACCTTGCATAGAGACCGCTGCTGGGTATCAGCTAAAATAAAGCGCTTCTTTTAACTTTTGGACTTGCCTCGTTGTCATTTGATTTTTGAGCTACAACATGGGCATTGTTTTCAGAGTTTGTATTAGGCTACGTTTAAAGGTTACTTTGAGAGTTAAGATATTGATAATAATGTTTATACTTTCAGTACATTGGGAGGCTTTCTAGATATTTGGTTTCCAGTAATGTCTCTTGCTTCGGAAATTTAAGTTTGCCCCATAAAGATGTGCCACCACACCGGCAGCCTCATCATCTCTCTCAGTCTCTGGAACATGCACCAGGGCTACCTTCTGCACAGACATCTCCTCCATCCTGCTTGGGCTCTGCCTCCCCATCCAGGCCCTCCATCCACCAGAAGTTCTGTTATCCTATCTGGGGCAGGTACCACAATGGCAGAGTCCCTACCAACACCAGGACAGCCCACTGCAGGGCCACCTACTCGCCCTGCTTAGGCCTGAATCCCAGCCACACTGGAGGCCCCTCCAGGCACAGGTGCTGTTCCCATCTCTCTCTAATGCTGAAATCTCATATCAGGCTGACCTCCACCCAAGTACCTCTCCTTTAACAGTTGGGCCTTTGTCCCCATAGGAAAAGACATCAGGCAGAGATGCCCTCCTCTGCCTGCTTGAGCCCACACTGCATCTGACCACCTCCCGTGCAGATGCCCACTTCTTGTCTCTCAGTCATCCCTCACTGCCCTGTGTGCAGCCTCCTCCACCCTCTAATCACCAGAGCTCTGTGCCAGGCCAGGCCCACAAGTGGACGCTGTCCAAGTTCTGACTCTCCACACCACAACACTTTCCCATCCCTACGATGATGACATTTTCCTCATTCAGCCTGGGTTCCATAGTCCTGCCAGCCACAGCACAGTCACCCTGCTCCCTGCTGACCTCCAGCAGCCTGAGCCAGGCCAGTGCTACTCCCCACCATCCCCTGGTGCAGACACTCACTGTCTTGTCCAACAAAATGCTTTATTTAGGACTGAAGTATGTGTAAGGAAAGGGAAAGGAATGAAAGTCTAAGGGAGGATAAGGCAGTTACATGTTCTCTGCATTCATTATTGGACCAAACCTGTGGCTGCATGAGGACAGATGTGCATGTTCCTACCCTCCTGCTAGTAATGGGCACTGCTTCAGACACTTTAACACGTGCAGCCACAAGGAGAGGGAAAGTATATTTCTAAAGTACTTTCTCTCTCTCCCCTAAAAACCATTGTGAATGGATCGTATTGCGGCCTTTATGAACCTAAAATCCAAGTGGCTTACAACAATAGC